GAGGGAGAGAAGGAACCACGGGCACATGCTCAGGAAGAACTGTGTGTGTAAGTATTTTGGAGTGTGTAGCTAGAGGGCATTCTGACAGATGAGGAACATGTGCGGCACCACATTGTTTGGAGGAGGGGAAGACTGGGGGAGAAAGGAACATTGCTAAGCTGCAGAAAGAGATGAGGCAAAGATCCTGGGTGTGCAAGTGAGGGCTTGGGGAGGGAGACAGTATTAACAAAGTAGAAGAAACTCACGTCATGCCATTAGCTGATTTGCCAAATTTTAGTTATTCTGACCAAAAAAAAAAAAAAGAAAATTTTACCCAGAGCTTGGATTTGTAATTTTCAAAAAATTCCATGCCTCTTGGCATCTGCAGGCAGAGTAACCGTCACATGAAATCTAAACAGGGGGCTCACATCTGGAACCAGAACCTTCGTTCTGCCTGGTAACAAAATAGGTAACTTGCAAACCGGTATTCATCTAGGTTGGAGCTCATGAAAACTAACTTTTGGACTTAGGACTTTCAGCGAATTAGATAACCTCTTTGACCTTCAATTTCCTCAATTAAAAAAATTAAGCAGTTGGTCTAGGTAAGTGTTTTCCAAATAGTTCTCTACAATTCTTTCTAGAACGTGCCTCCCCCTCACTTCCAGGATTCAAGCAGAGCTGTTAGAGTTTTTTTTTTTTTCTGATTATATCTTACTCTTTGAAGAATGTATTCTAACTAAAAGAAAAAAAATGGGATTTATTAGATTGGACTCTAAATTCCCTTCTAGCTCTGTCAGCCTAAATATGTATGCATCGGGGTTGACATGAACCCATCTGATGCATTCAGTCAGCCAACAAATATTACTGAGCATCTACTATACAGTAGGCAGAGTTTTAGGCATTGAAAATAAAGCAGTAAAAGAGACCAAGCCCTTATGCTCAAAGAGCTTACACTCTAGTTGGAGGACAGATGATAAACGAAGTGATTACAGCGGGTACTTGGTGTATTAACACAGAGCAAGGGCATAGAGAGCAACGGGGGTCTTCCTAGGAGTGACGTTTGAACAGAACAAAATTGAACAAAACGGGAGAAAGATGAAGGAAAGGATCTGGGAAAGAACATTCCAGGTAGAGAGAAACATCGAGTGAAGGACCTTGGCAGATACAAACCTGCTAATGTACTTTCCCCACATAAACTGATCTAGGTCTCCAGACTCCATGCTCCTCCAAGGAAGGAAACACTTGGTTTTGCAAGTGAAAGGCACTGGAGTCTCTCCTGCTTTCAGTAGTGCCTTGTCTTCCTGGTTCCCCATTGCCCTCCTGGTGGTGGAGGGAGGGGCTCCTCACACCTCACTTGCACAGCATGGTGCTTGCTGACCACAGGCTGCACATCCGGTCCTCATGACATATCTTGTCCTGCCTTGTACCTGTATACCAGCCTCTGTCCTTGCTCCCTGTTTTGGGGTTAATGCAATGTGCCCTGATACTGCTTTGTCCTTCAGCACTGTCATCTGCTCACCACTGCTGATGACCCCCAACCTCACCATTGCCTCTCATCCCCAAGACCCCACACCCAGCAGCCGTGGACTCTCTGTTCAGACCCCAGACCTCTTGGGCCCTCTCAGCACTGCCATGGCAGGGAGCCCTTGGGGGCCTCTCTTGTTCCGTGCTGGAGTGGGGCAAGAAAAGTGATAAGAACCCAGACTCTTGAGCCTCAGAGCTTGGGTTTGCATTCTGGTTCTACAGAGCCAGATGACCTTGAATCTCTTTGTGTTTTCATCTTTGTTTCGGTTGCTCGACCAAAAAATGGGGACGATCAGATTAGTACTGTTGCCTTACATGGTTGTTGTCAGGTATAAATAGGCTAATATATGCAAAATGCTTTTAAAAATGTATGCTATGTAGTAAATACCAGGTACATTTTTGGTTTATAAGACAATCCGAGGACACTGCCCTTGGCTCCTTGCTCAGCATTGCCCTTCGGCCAACAGAGTCCCCTACTTTTCTGAGAGGCTCTCCAGATGAGGTTGTAGGAAGTGAGGAATTAGCTGCTATGATCTAGGCTTCCCTCAGCTGAATGGGACCCTTATTTAGAGTTTAACATCCAATCACAAATGGTTTGTACTTAACCAAACATTTGCACATGCATTGTTTTACTGAATCCTCAACGTAACATTGTGAAGTTTGAATTACTAACCCCATAGCTTCTATACGAGGCTAAGAGACGTTGTGACTTGATCCTACAAGTAATCAGTGGCCCAATTCAGACTTTTTTAGAAAAAAGATTTCTGCTTCCAGCGTCAGAGTGCTGGTCAGTATACCTCAGCTGTCTTTAAGAAAATCTTTGTATAAACCTATAGGTCAGAACATCAGGCAGATGAACTAGCTAAATCCAAATATAAGAGTAACCTGTTTTTATCAAGTTCTTGCTTCTTTGTTTGTCCACATCATTTTTCATGTCATTACTTACCCTTGTCCTCAGTCATTGCAATGTCAGGAGTGAAAGTGGAGTTGGAGATGTAACTTTGAATTGTTTTAGTACTTTTTTGTTTTATTTCAAACATCGTTTAAGCAAGGCTCATTTTTTTAGACTTCTTGGAGGGATTCCTTCTTCCCTTTTTATTTAAAAGCAAAATTGCAAAATAAAATCACTCGATCAGCTGATTGATGATTCATCAGAGACCTGTGGCATGTCGGCAAATCACGTACTCATCTAACTGTAAGAGAAGGGTCTACACAAAAAAATAAGATACTTCGGGTTTCATACCACCCATTCCCTTCCGAGTGACACTTTTTACCATTAAACCACAGTGAAATTAAAATATGGATGGACCACTTGCAGCTCCGAGTGACCATGGCACAAAGTGTATGTCTGCCACGTCCTGGTCATAGACGGGGATGGCCAAGGCTGCCACATTTGTTCTTTCTTGTAGCCACAACACCTGTTCAAAGCCCAGGATATTTCAGCAATTACGGTCCTTTCTCTTTTTCTTCAAAGATCACGTATAGTTAGTATGCAGTATCTTCCAATAGAATAACTAATTGTTCAAAGTAGTTTCTAGGAGAACATTTTAAATCTGTAACACAATTTTGGAGGTAAAGCCCTGTCTTCTACTGTGTGAGAATTTTTTTGGCTCAGTTTCTCAAGACCGGTATCTGAGTTTTGTTTCATATGAGAAAGCTGCTCGTCCTTTGGAGAATAGGGCTTTGACTTGGACTGCGTAGCTGGCTTTAGAGAGCCTCAGTGGGAATGTCTGAGGGCCGAGACCCTGGCTTATCCCCCTCGCTGTTCTCGAAGCCATCACCGTATGGACTTGCTGTTCACACATTGCGCTAACCTATTTGCTTCTACCAGTGACAGTTCCAGCTGATGTCCTCTGTGGGACCTAGGTCCTCCTTGCAATCACACAGCCCAAGATTTGGCCAACGGCTTCCATTTTCTCGAAAGCTCCCTTTAAATCATGTCAAGTAATTTCAAAGCTGAACTCTTTTTCTTTCCTCTCTGGAAAGCTTGCCAAGTGCATTCCTGCCTATGTATTAAGGGAATTTGGGTAGTCATTTCAAGAAAGTTCAGAAGAAAAAAAGAAACATTCCAATTTCCATAGTGTTGATAAAGCATTGCAGCACATGTTAACAAGGTGTATCATTTAGGTCTTTATTTTAATCTGTGTCGCTGTTGTGTGGCAGGAAACTCTGGGCCTTTTCACACTTCTTGCTTTACAGGAAATCTCTATGGAGCCTTTACTAGGAGTCTGTTGCATGCAGTTTAAAAGGAAATGCAACTTTATGTTCTTTTTACACTCAGAAGTCTGAAAGGAACATTGTTCTTTAAGGGCGCTGCACAGAGAGCAGAACAAACTTTAATTACCTCCTTGAGGTGTCAACAATTAGGGAAACTGAGGAAGTCGCAACTTCTCAGATGAGAGAGGCTTTTCAGGTACCTGGAAGGTGTTTTAAAAGGTACCTTGTCACTTTGGTAAGTCGCAGTTTTCCAACCACTCTTTAATTACCTGTCAAAGTTAGAATGCACATGAAGAAAGCCTTGAGACAACTGAACCTGTCTGAGATAAAAAAGGAATTCATTTTCTGGCGAATGCCTCTCAAATAGGTAAAATTCAAGCTGCTTTCGGGCATTAAGTGAGGAGATGTGATTTTAGCTTTTTTTTTTTTTTCCTGTTTAGTTATTCCAGGTGACCAAGAGCAAATTACTTGAGACAGGTTGACCCTTTTTAGTGACTGTCTTTCCAAATACAGAAACCCACATCCTTCTTACTGGCTGATTTATTTTCTGGGTGTGTTCTTCTCATGTTAGAAGTGATAGCCTGCCTAAAAAGACGTGGTTCCATCACCTTCAGGCTTCTGTTGCTTCTATTTCACAACGATCCCTGCAATATATTTTCTCCTCTTCAGTTACACACCAGTATTTCCCTTTTGTGGCACTCAGCACGCTGTCTCTATATCCCGCCTTGAGATTATGGTATCTGTCTGCTGGACTCCAGGCTCCTCTCATAGACTTTCCTTTCACTGCTCGGGAGCAACTGTGCATTCTGAAACCTAATCAGAGAGAAAGCTCATCCCTCAGACGTCTTTTTGCACAACTGTTTATTGAAGAATGATGGTATGTTATAGGCTGTGGATTAGGTGCTAGAGAAAAATCCCTGCTCTCGTGGAGCTTCTGTTGAAGGGGATGGGGCATCAGCTTCTCACTGTGAAACAGAAGTTGGTCTACCTTAAATCTTCCCTAGCTTTCTCATCACAAGATGTGTACTGCTGTAGTTTGAACACATCCTACCGGAATCGAGACCAAATTCTTTTTTTTTTTTTTTTTAAAGATTTTATTTATTTATTTGAGAGAGAGAGTGAGAGAGAGAAAGAGCACAAGAGGGGGGAGCGGGAGAGGGAGAAGCAGACTCCCCGCTGAGCAGGGAGCCCGATGCGGGACTCGATCCCGGGACTCCAGGATCATGACCTGAGCCGAAGGCGGACGCTTAACCAACTGAGCCACCCAGGCGCCCCCCCCTTTTTTTTTTAAGATTTTATTTTTAAGTATCTCTACCCCCAACATGGGGCTCAAACTCACAGCTCCAAGATCAAGAGTGGCATGCTCTTCTGACTGAGCCAGCCAGGCACCCCAGACTGAATTCCTTTTTTTTTTTTTAAGATTTTATTTATTTGACAGAGAGAGCACAGGTGAGCACAAGCAGGGGGAGGGGCAAAGGGAGGAGGAGAAGCAGGCTCCCTGCTGAGCAGCGAGTGGGGCTCTATCCCAAGACCCGACCTGAGCTGAAGGCAGATGCTCAACCTACTGAGCTACCCAGGTGCCCCCCGAGACTGAATTTTTATTAAGAGAAAATTGTATTCACTGTGTTAAGGTATGTAAATCAGAGCCAAGAGCTCTTTCTGCTATAGATATCTCTGTCTGGCTTTCAAAATTATATGAGAAGAGAGAAACTGAAACACAAAATCTTTCCACAACCATTATCCATTTCTCTGCCCTGATGGCCTTTGTTTTAAATTCCAAAAAGTGAAAACAATCGAGAAACAGATCCAAAAAAAGTGAAGATTCCTGCTTTCATGGAGCTTGCATTTTGTGTGTGTGTGGTGGGGGAGGCAGAACACACAAAAAACAACTAAGTAACTAAGTAATGTGTGTCAGGTGCTGTTACTATAGTAACAGAAAGTGCTATGATCCACAGTTTGCAAAGTACTCTCATAAACAAACACCATTATGTAACAAATATTTATTGAGCAGCCCATTTTTACTAGCCATTGTGCTTACAACTGTGTACTTGTTATAATTTTATCCATATTTTAAGATTGAAATTTTGATATTTAGGGAGGTGAAGTTATTTTTCCAAGGCAATAGAGTTGACAAATTACAGAACCAGGACCCAAACTCATATTTTCAGTTTCCAAGTACAGTGTTCTTTCTGAGGCAATAGCTGTAACTTTTTAAAATCTGAGCCCTGAAACAAACATTTCTATAGAGTCGCCCTTGTTTCTTCCTTCACTTACTATTTAACTGCAAAATAAATCCATTTCTAGGGAAATGGGTTTCTACCTTCAGGGACTTCTTACCATGTCTGTTGCTGGGGTGATATTTTATTTTCAAGTAAATGAGTTTGGATGGTCTTAAAATTCATTATGACTTGCAAAAGGAATGTATGATTATGTCTTTAAAAATTTGCATTCAGGAGCACCTGGGTGGCTCAGTCAGTTAAGCCTCCGACTCTTGGTTTCAGCTCGGGTCATGATCTCAGGGTCGTGAGATGGTGCCCCATCCGGCTCTGTGCTCAATGTGGAGTCTGCTGAAGATTCTCTCCCCTTGCCCTTCCCCTCTGCTTGCGAGCTTGCTCTAAAAGAAATACATGAATAAAAATCTTTTCAAATATTTGCATTTGGGGCACCTGGGTGGCTCAGTTGGTTAAGCGTCTGCCTTCGGCTCAGGTCATGATCCCAGGGTCCTGAGATGGAGCCCCGCGTCGGGCTCCCTGCTCAGCGGGAAGCCTGCTTCTCCCTCTCCCTCTGCCTGCCACTCCCCCTGCTTGTGCTCTCGCTCTGTGTCAAATAAATAATATCTTAAAAAAATATATTCGTATTCATTAATTTTCCTTTAAATGACGTTAAAAGAAATTCATTTACCATAATATTCTTCTCCCTGTTTCATATCCTTTATTCTTCCAATTTCTTCTGGTCAAATGAATTTCAAAATTAGATACTTTGACTCTTTTATAAACTGTATTTGGAGAGTCTCTCAATCCTCAGTGAAGTCTTTGCTGGATTCTTAAAAGCCCGTGGCTCTCTGAACTCATCCTTTACGTGGGAAACAGGACAGAGTCTTGAGAATAATCTGAACTGACATCTATTTCTGATCTTTTACAACAGTTTCTCAAGGTAGGAAGTTTAAAAGAAAGTTATGTCACTTGACAGTTGTGAAAAAGTCTGCACAGAGCTACAAGTCGTAGCATTTGGAGGCCAGAAAAATCAGACTGCTTCTCCTGAATGTTGACAGATATATATATATATATATATATATATATATTTTTTTTTTAGTTGTGTTTTTTTTTAACAATCTCCCCATTCCTTTTATTCTTGCCACTGGACAGATTCTTCACCAGTAAAAAGTTTTAAACTGATTTTAAACCAGGGTGAATGCAGCAATGGGGACACGAAGAAAGCCAGGACATTACAGTGGACAGAGCACAACAATTTTTAAAACAGTTGAGCAACTTGTATGATTAATAATCTTTAAAAATATACAAAAATAAGAATATAAAGTTTAAAAAAGCTACTTGTGTTCGATGTAGAGATTATCACTGTGAATATTTTGGGATGGTCTTTCCTTTCAGTCATGTTTTCCTCCCACAAAAATATGTGATCGTATATTATGGACTTCTCTTTCTGGGTCATTTCCTTTTTCTTTGTCTGCATCATTTTCATGGCTCTTCAGTGGACTGATATATTATGATTTATCCAACTACTTGTCTGCTATTGACCATGTAAGTTAGTTCTAATTTTTCATTGTTATTAATAATGTTATAATTAACATCCTTAAAGTAAAACATTTGAGCACATCTGTGATTAGGTGCTTAAACTAGTTCACAGAAGTTAAATTGTTGGGGCAAAGGGTATATAGAATTTTAAGGTTTTTGTTAGTTTTGTCAAATTGTTCTCAAAATTCTATATTCCCACCAACAGTGTATGGTGAACTGAAACATTGGATAAGAAACTTTGAAATGTAGAAGGTACAATACATAATTTTAAATAGTACATTTCAGGGGCAGTTGGCTGGTTCAGTTGGTTGAGTGTCTGACTCTTGATTTGGGCTCAGGTCATGATCTCAAGATCGTGAGATTGAGCCCTGTATTGGGCTGTGTGCTCAGTGGGGAGTCTGATTGAGATTCTCTCTCCGTCTACTCCTCCCCCTGCTTGCACACTGTCTCTCTCTCCCTCCCTCTCTAAAATAAATAAATAAATATTAGTACATTTCAGATAATTTCAACTACTAAATCTATTCTGTTCCTTCACTTTAGGGATTTTTCTATTGCCCAACCATCCCAAAGAAAGAAAAATGGAATGCCATTACAACGGAGAAGAACTATGCCGTGTGCTGAACCAGGACTCAGGAAATTTGGCCTTTAGTCCTGACTGTTACTCATTTGATATGTATGACTCTAAGCCAGCCAGTTATCCTGCTTTAGATTCTTTATTGGTGGTTCCAAAATAGGAATTACTAGTATCTTCTTTTACTCTCAAAGTAGACCATAAAATTCCATGCTTACCCTATGTATCGAGATGTGAGCTATTTCATCTATTAAAATGGATACCTGTTGTTTTGCCTGTCCAGCCTATTTCTCTCATTTTCTGTTGTGGAACCGCTCTTTCTCATCACCATAGACTCTCCTCCAGTTTACACGCTTGCGGTTTAATCCCATCCTTGGCCCCAGTTCGGGTTTGGCCAGGCAGAAAACCACATCCTCTTGGGTTCAAAGATGGATCTACAAATGGGCATGTGACCTAAGCCAGGCTCCTGTGAACTTTCCTCCTGGATTTCTGAGGGGCTAACTGGTGTGCTGGCTCATGTTGGCCCACAAGAGACAATGTTAATTTCTTTAAGATTTTTTTTTAATTTTTTAAATTTATTTGACAGAGAGATAGCGAGAGCAGGAACACAAGCAGGGGGAGTGGGAGAGGGAGAAGCGGGCTTCCTGCCGAGCAGGGAGCCCGATGTGGGACTCGATCCCAAGACCCTGGGATCATGACCTGAGCCGAAGGCAGACGCTTAACGACTGAGCCACCCAGGCGCCCCTAGACAATGTTAATTTCTAAGAATTTTGCAAATTAGCTGTTAAACACAGTCATTATAAAAATCAGATTACATAAACTTATATTAAAATAAACGAAGTGAATACTCAAAACTCAGCTTTTTAATTATTGTACTATATTTTATTACTCTCTATGCTCTTAAAGTTATCTATGTGCATTGTATCTATAAAATAGAAATACTGTATAATGGACTACTCTCTGTCTCTTTACAGTTCCATGTTTAGTGATGTCAAGTTGGCAGGTTGAAACTGGCCAAGGTGAGAGTATTTACACTATGGAAATTGGCAAATGCCAGTGGATATCCAAAACCAGAGGTTTTTTTTTTTTTTTTTTCCTTTTCTTTTCCTGAAAAGCCAGTTTAACATTTTTTAATCAAGCCACTGGCTGAAACTATTGGGTAAGAGCCTTTTGCTTCTTACTTTGTTGCTATGCTAGTGAAATATAATCTTAAAGTAGCCAAAGGGCCATTTTAGTTATTTGGGGGAGAGCTTGACCAAGAATGATGCCAACAAAAGAAAAGTAGAGCTGAGTGATGCAGAGAGACAAGAGTCTTAATGTCTGGTGAGCTTTTGGTATTTTACTTGGATAAGAAACTAGCTCAAACCACATTAGGTTTTTATAACTTATGAATGAAAGTCTTTTGATAATACAGATTGATCTCTAAGACTCCCTTACAGTGTTAATAATACATGATTTAAAATTATATAAAAGGGGGGAATTCCTTAGCTAAATATTTAGTGCCCATAGTTATTATCTTTGAAAAGAAGTCAAATTAAAAATATTGCCAATGAACTCAGTTTGTCCTCACTCATCCAATCTTGTATGTTAGCATTGTCTTATAACTGAATTTTCAGCCATGAAATAGATGAAATAAACTGATGCTAATCATTTCAGCTAATTTTACAAAACTCCCCCTTCCTTTTAAAATGTAATACTACGTTTAAGTTGATTCGCTTTAAGAGAATTAAAAAAAAACCCCACTTTTAATTGTCCCTAGATAATGACTATTAGCTATATTTGATCATAGTACTGTCTCCAGAAACCTGGTTTGAACAGTTACTCTGCATTTTAAGAGCACTGCACTTTCGCTCTTTGAAATATTGACTTCATTTTACCAAAGTGCTGCCCACCACTATGTACCCTAAGGTACTGTTTCTTAATGAGCGAATGAGTCTGAAGTAGTACTGAGGTTTTTAGGAACCCTCTCCAATTTGACACTGCTCCAGTGTATATTTAACACTTTATTCCTGGCTCATTACAGCTATGACCCATTTCACATATTGTTGATTCAAAAGAATCAAAATCCCATTGGTGTGTTTACTTTCTGGTACTTGACTGTTGATAACTCAAGAGGTGTTAGTGGTTAATTGTGAACGTTCACAAAACCCTGAGACCAAACCTGATAATTTGCCAAGTGCTAAGATAGTTTATATTTACCACCTCCCAAAACACAGTGTTCTCTTCTTTATCTGGCTTTAAAAAGACGTTGGAGAAAGTCTTTTTTGACTTGCGTGATCATATTTAAAACTAAATGAAACAGCAAAAACCTTGACACCGTTCCTATTAGCTTTGCTAGAGTTATTTTTAGGGGTCAGATCTTTGGGGTCTGTTGTCAATAGTTGGCTGTGTCCTCTGAAGTCTACTGCCAGTTTGTCCCTTTAGTTAATGAGGTCTTATCTTGCAGCTGTAACAGAAAAATGTATTCAAATTAACATGAGTGGGTGGGAACTATGGTGCAGTGGAACAAATCAGCACCCCCCCTTTTTGGACTGAATATGCATTAATTCCCTATACCAACATATGCATTTCTCAAAATCTGTTCTGAGGAGCCTTATTAGGGAAACAGTCCAGGTCGGTGTTTTTCAATGTGCAGGTCATCTGCATCTGAGCCACCTGGAGTGTCTGTTAAAATACAGACTCCAGGGCTGTTGTGGACTCCCATTTTCTGGGAGTGGGGCTTGGCAACATAGATTTTTAACAGTTCCTTGGTGATTCATACAACCTTTGGGAATAAAGGGTCTAGTAAATTTGTGAACCACTTTCTTGAAGATTTATAAGCCAAATTAGCACATTACAGGCTCTGAGAAGTCCTGTAGTGGGGGAGACTTTTTAAACTTTTTAACTTTTTAAACACAGGATTTCCCCAATTTATTCTCCAAAACTCTTTCTTGGGGGGAACTTGTTATTTGACCAAATATTATTGGGAAAATTTACCTTAACCAATAGGATAAGAACTTCAGATTGTTGCAGATGCTTGCTAATTTGATACTAATGAGTTAATGTAGTATCTTGGTATGAGCAATAGACAGGAAGATCTGAGTGGGAATCCTGAGTTTTGTACTGTTGGCTCAGTTTACCTAGCAGTAATGTTTGCTTAGTCCCATGGTGATGGGATGAAAGAACGAGTTAATACCAACCCAGAACCATTGCCAGAAAAAGAATTTAAACAGAAAGCCCCCTTAATGTTGTGATCTTTTATGAAGAGCAACACATTGATACTTTTGGCAATGTACTCTGCCCAGACATTCTACCTCCTCACTCTATATCCCCAGGGAGGAGATCTGGTTACTATTTTACAACGGAAGATAGGAGAGAGGACCAAGGAGCTATTTCAGAAATGCCAATCAAGTTGAACAATGGGAAAAGCAGTAAATACATTTGAACAGGAAATTGGGTGGAAGTGAAATAATTCTTCACCCTGTAGCAGAAGGGGTGAAAGGCAACCCCAGTCTTCCGTCCCACCCTTCCTCCTATTAGGCACAAACAACACAGAACCCGGGAGGTGGAGTGAGTAAAGAAATGATAAGTAACAATGGACTTGGGAGACTTCAGCGGGTCCTTCTCTGAGGTGGGGCTGCCTTTTGCCTGGCTCTACAAATAGAGGGCACAAAGATGGGTCCAGAGTAAAGGAAGTAGGAATAGATTAGCTGTAGGGAGATATAAAGAGACCTTGGGGTTTCCTTTCAGATCGCCTGGGCTGGTTCCCTAGGGAAGAGAAGGAGGCAAAGTCCCGGGCTCATTCTGTCCCCTGATCGCACCGGGCATTTCGTACTCCTGTGCCTTTGCACATGCTGCCTTTGCTTCAAATGCGCTTGCCTGCTTTTTTCCAACTACATGCCCATAGGGCTTTGTTGATTCAGCTAGTTTAATCCTGTCATAGTATATTAATGGTATGCTGTTGGATTGGGAACTCTTTGAGGGCAGGCATATTTTCTTCATTATTTTTAATATCTTGCCCTGGTCTCAGCTCCAAGCATAAAACAGCTTTCCAATAAGTTTCTTCGTGGTTGCCAGGGAGGTCACACACCTCAATATGGTGCCCCTAAATAATTGTCAAGAGTCCTCAGCTAGCATTCCAGGGGTGCAGAATTTGCGAACCAGAGCCCATCTGGTAGACACTCCTCATTTTACAGATACTAAAGTGATAGTTTATATAGGAAGCAAGTGATGGCCTAGGACTCCAGCCCCCTAGCTCCCAGTCCAATGCACTTTTGACCACCCTAAGGTCGTTTGTGTAATTAAAGAAAAAAAAAAAAATCCTGCCATTACCCAGCGCTATCATGCCCCTTTCTGAATGATGGTATAAACCAGCATTTAAATTACTATTTCCATAAGTAAGAAATGCAGAGTCATTGAGCTAGAAAGTGATTTAAGGAGAATGTTTTACTTCCAAATAAAATTTGTTCCATCTCTTCTTGCACTTCTTGAATTTCTGCGTCCCATTGTGCTTCTTTCTGATTCGTGCCTTAGCTTGGAAGCTACAGTTAAAAACTGCTGGGTGAGAAGCTATTCTCCAGGTACTGTCAACTTTACTGGAAAGAGAAGGTCTCATAAATCACATAAGGGAACTGGGGCCTCTGGGATTGCTTGGTTGCCAAGCGAATTCTGATTGATTGCTTTGGAAAATATGTACCTTTTCCAGGAGCTTATCTGAAATAAAGATTCATACTTTCTCAGACTGAGCTCCCTCTCCACCAAATTTCATAGTCCAGTCATTTTAAAGGGCAGTTAAAAGAACAGCATGAGTATTAGGCGTTTAGTCAAAAACTTGGGAGGGCAGAGCACAAATGTTATTCCAAATGGAGAGAGGTCTGGAACAACAAAGCTTCCCCAACTAAACATAAAATCAGAACCAGTTTTCGGGGTATAGGGCTCATGTTGACTTTATCAAACCTACTCCTAAACAATGATGAGCACCGTAGAGGGATCGCTGAGAAAACCATGGTATCAGATGCGGTCCTTGCTTCCGCCTCAGGACGTGGTATGAACTAGGGTTTCGGAGCAACCTGGCGTTATGTCTAAGAGTGAAATTAAATGGCAGGAAAACATTTGGATCTTAATCCTTTTAGGTCCTAGAATCTCTTGAAACTCTGCAAACTGTGAACCTTCTCCCCAGAAAAATGCACATATACACACAAGCCTCCAGGCTATTTCCGGGACTTCACAGACGCCCCCCCACCATGCCTGTAGGCGTGTGGGACCCCACGTTAAATGCCCCTTATTTAGCTACTCCCCGCAAAGTTCCTGGTTTCCTGACATGGCAGCTCTGCCTAACTGGCAACTGGAGCTTCCTACCTGGTCCCACACAGGCTGCAGGTCGTGGCAAAAGGAAAGGGTTGAACATGTGTCATGAGGCTGATTCAGTTTTACTGAACACAAGTGGCCTTAATTCCGCACAGATTTCCTGAACTTTGTTGTGTGGTGAGACTGTCTGGGAGAGATTTAAAACTCTCGGCATTAATTTATACTTTCATTGATAGTATGTCTGAAAGGAGAATGCAAACTGGTAATTGGCTTGACTTGGTAATCTGGTTCGGTGGTAGGCCAGGTTCAGAACCGTCTCCTTACCCATAGTCAGGAGAACTGTCAGATGGTTACAGTTCACATGGGGAGCAGGATCAACTTGGTCCTGAGATGTACGGCTGAAGAGATTTTCTAGTCTTTGGTCATTACCATCTCGTCTGAATTCAACACTCGTGAGCTAAGGAAGACTTCATTTTGCATTAGTAACCTAGCAAACTTGATGATGCATTCTTGAAGAGACATGGGAAAGAAGGTGGATAATGACAGTCTACAACACTTTTTGTTTATCCAGAAATCAACCATCCCCAGGAGGTTGACATATAATCCCATGCTTAATCTGTCATCCATACTTTATGTAATAATAATAATAATAATGATAATCATTTACACTTATATAGGCTCTTTCATCTAGGGAATCTCAAAGCTTTACAAACACTAATTAATTCTCCTAGTGTCCCTGTGAACTAGGTGAGGCCCATTTTACAGGTGAGGCAATTGAGGCACAGAAAGGACAAGTGGCTTTCTCAAGGCTACTGGGTGGCTGATGAGAGAGCTCAGAAGCCTGGAGAGATCCGTCCTTCCAGTTGTCAAGGGGCAGCTGCATCTCGTGGGTGAGGGAATGGGAGGGACCACACGGGAAGGAAGCCCTCACTCTTCCAGGTTTTAGTTACTTGAACCCCAGCAGTGCCCAGAAATGCAGGGTGTTTCCAAAGCAAACACTTTCCCATCCATACCACACACCATGCACAGCCTGTGAAGGGTTGGTTGTTTTTGAGATCTAAGCACTAGAGATGGGGCTAAAATTGCCTGTCATATGTGTTTGGATAGGAAGAGGAATGAACTTGGGCGGAGAGTTGTCTTTTTGGTAGATGCTGGTGAGAAGCATTGGCCCGCTCTCTGCCAAATCGGAGCTACAGTGGCCTTGGACTTGTTTTATTCTGTCCCACTATGTGAGCTACCTGGTGTGCACATAAAAAGGACACAATGTTTAAAGTGGGCCCCATCTGCAATTGCCAGGGACCAAATGGAAAGTAGCTTCTCTCTATAGGCTTTTCAGGTGTAGAGAATGCTTGAAATTCCCCCCAGATGGGTGGTGCTTAAGTTCTAGGGAGCGCTTCTCAAACTTTGAGATGAATGCCAGTCATCTAGGTATTTTTTTTTTTTTTAAGATTTTATTTATGTATTTTTTTCAAGAGAGCGTGAGTGCACAGGAGCACAAAGGGAAGGGGTAGAGGGAGAAGCAGACTTCCCACTAAGCAGGGGGCCCAATGCGGAACTCGATCCCAGAACCCTGGGATCATGACCTGAGCCGAAGGCAGATGCTTTTACGACTGAGCCACCAGGCGCCCTAAGGATCTGTTAAAATGCAGATTCTAGTTAAGTCATTTTGGAGAGGGGCCCAAGATTATACTTTCAGGTGATGCCAGTGCTAATAGTCCCTATATTAGTCCTCTGAGCAGCAAGACTCTGTCCTGCACCCCACTACATGAGGCTGGGGTTACAAAAATGGGTTTGAAAAGTGATTCTGTCACTGATTAGTGAGAGATTTGGGCCACCACAACTTCCTGAGCCTGTTTCTGTATCCTTAAGTGGTTATCATTACTCTCCATCACAGGGTTGAAGATGAATAAAATAACCCAATAGAAAGAGTCTGTCACATGCTAGAACTCCACAAATGGTCATTCATTCCCCCCAGGCTCCCCAATTCATCCTGTCTGGCTCTATTCCCAAACAAATACTTCCTAGTTTTCCCTCTATGTCTGCCATAGTCACCAACTGTATTTGATCTAGCTTGCCCTCTTCATACAATTTTACCCCTATATTCTTTCTCTTCTACATGTAAAAGCCGGCATCAAATGTCATTTTCCCCCCTCATTCTCAAAAGGCTTTTCCTGAGCTAATTTCTTGTCTCATTAACGATTATAAATGGGTCTCTGCCTTCCCAGGTTCTAATTTGATCAAGGTCATCCAATGGAAGTGAGACTACAGGGTATCCACTTAGTAAACAAATTATTAAGCACCTACTATGCCAGGTCCTCGGCGTACCACTGAGAATATAATATACACTTCTTTTTTTCTCTAGTATTTCCGTTGCCTCTCTCTCACTCTCTGAGCGGCAGTGGTCTTCCTTGAATTGTTCCGTCATTCACTCATGGCTTTAGACATTTCTCTCATCTTCGGGTTTCATTTTCCTCTCTTCCCATTGCCCATACTCATCCCTTGGTTCTTTTCCCTCTGAATGCATCAAGCTGACTAAAAATTTCTCTCCTAAAAATCTTTCTAAAACTCATTTTGTGTGGATGTGTGTGTGTGAAACGGTTTTGAATTTTTTTTTAAAGCAACATTGAAAGTCATGTATAGTATATAAATAGGGAAAAAAAAGTCTGGAATAACACACACCTCCCTGTTCACACTGGAATTGGTAAGAGGAAACTTTCACTTTTTTCTTCATGTGCTTTTGGCATTTTGGGCAAGAAAAAATTACTCCCTTGCTGGTAATAGGATCAGCAAGTTCTATTCTGTGACACAGGAAGAAAAATGAGAAAAAAATCTACACCTATGGATTAATGGATAACCAAAGGAAAGATGAAGAGAAAGGAAAATGAAACTTACAATCTTCAGATCTGCCCACATTCTCACCTGCAGTTTTATGTCTCAATTTCTGGGTCTGTCTTATTCAGGTTTCAAGTCACTGGTGTGGAACTCCATCTTCCTGGGATTACACAGTGTCAGGAATGCTGTTGGCATGAACGCAATACTAATAGTAAAGCAGAAGGAGGCATTTTTTACAAGAGAGAGTACTACCCAGATGGATTTTGATAAGGTTGGTATGTACCCCGAGAGGTCATAATTAACCACATCAAAGAAGGAGTGGCTTCTTAAGCAAATGGACTTTATCTTGCCATCTGCCAAAAACGTACCAAATGCTCTTACTTTGTTGAGAAACATCTGCACTGCTGGAACCAAGTCTTCATTGCTTTAAACTGATGAACATGATTGAAGAAGTACTTTTATTACTTACACATTTGACCTCCCAGACTCACTTTGGCACCTTGCTTCTCTCATGTCCTCCTAGTGTGGACACATCATCTACAGTTTGCCTCAATGAGAACATAATGGTTCATGGCTGAATTGGGAACAGAGAGAAGTTATCTGATAGAAGCAGAGCAGGAAGAATTTAATTTTCCTAGCTCATGGTTTTCATCCTACCAACTGGTATGCTGGACTGAACAGTTGTTAGAGAATTGAGATGGTTGGCAAAAGCTGTATCAGAATTTAGGTAGGACTCAACCTGGCTCCTCATTAGAGTCCCCTGGAGAGACTTTTTTCCCCTAGAGAGCTTGATGTAATCACCCAAACTTTGGAATTAATAAAAACAACAATAAAACAACAGGTATAAACCCCCGTGACTTTTGTGGGACTAACACAGCCTTGTAAGAGATCTTTGGATCGCGCAGCTTTTAATTAGAGGTCACACGGTTCTCTAAAGGAAGACCAGACACTGTGCACCTTTGCTCTGTCCTGTGACTTCTGGTTTCAGGTATATGCAGAAAATAATCAGATATATAGTCAAATAAATTAGAATAATCCAAGAATGTGTTGAACATTTATAATTGTGTTTCAGGCAGGTACTTTTACTTTATATATATGAAACTCTATGATTGCATTTCTCTGCCAATAAGCCTTCTTTCTTAAATATTAATGAAGAACTTCACCTTGTATTTCTGCAATAATTGTTATATTATCAAACTCTTACAAAATGCAGAATAAAAATGTCCTTATCCTAGCACTGGAATTTCTACCATGGGGCAGGCGCGGTGGTGGGGGTGGGGGTGGGGAGGGGGCGGGAGGAGGATATATCATCTTTGGGTTCTTTGCCTGCCTCTGTTTTATGGAGGTGCCAGACTTGTTAGTTGCACTTCCATTGTTTTTCTTGGATTTGATAAAGGTGTTTGAGACTAATCTTGCTGCTTTGTAGGTTTCATTCTATTTCTTTGTTTCCAGTATTACTTGGGGGGTATATTTGGCTGTGCTGTTCCCCACTCCACTACCTTCCGGGGAGTCCTGAGTCTAACATTTTAAAAGGTGCAGAGATAAACCAGAAACATGCCCCATGGAGGATAACTGGATGTCAAAAGATCTGAAAACCATGCCAAGTGATGAGCATTTGAAATGGAGGGAAATGGAGGCAAACGTCCTAGAAAAATTATGGTGTGAAATTATATGCGGATAGCTTCCTTAGTACATTTTCTTCCTTAACAAAAATTTTCTTAAAGAAAATTCAGATCCTCTAAGGTTGTAATCCTTGCTCTTTGATAAGTAACTTCCTTTAGGGTAAGGACGGTATTTATCATTCATCTACGTTGCTACTCCCTCTGTCATCTTCATGATCTATAGTGGTAATTGATCAAAGCATTCTTTTCTGCTGAATCTGGAGGTGGCCGCAGAATTTTTCTCAACAGTGTTCCAGGGAGCGAATACTAATTGATTGGTGTTGGCATTAATGATGACATTTTTTGCAATCTCTATCATAATTTTTTAAAAGATTTTATTTATTTGAGAGAGAGAGGGAGAGAGAGAGGGAGAGGGAGCATGAGCAGGGGGAGGGGCAGAGGGAGAAGCAGACTCCCCACTGAGCAGGGAGCCCCTGATGCAATGCAAGGCTGGATCCTAGGCCCCCTGGATCATGACCTGAGCCAAAGGCAGACACTTAACTGAGCCACGCAGGCATCCCACAACCCCTACCTTAAAGCTCTTGCTAATTACTCCTACTAGGAAGGTAATTCTGTCCTTCAGCCACCAAAAGGGCTTCATGATCCTTTATTTGAATATCCAGGTGGTAATGGTTGAGACAAGATTGGTATATTTTATTAGGACTGTAACCAAGGTTAGGTGAATGAGAGGTGGAAACAGAGCACCATAAAATTAGTCTTGCCCATTCTTCTCAAACCCACCTTTAGCCTCTAGGATAGGTCCTTGCATAGTTCCTGGTCTTCCTCCATGAGGAAGAAAACTTTAATTCCTACTTTCTTGGAATGTTTTTAAGTATTTCCAGGACTCTGAAATGTAGATATAAGAAAATCATACCCCAAGAGAGAGTTATAAGTGAATTGCTTGACATCTCTCTTACTTAACTATGATTCATTCACGATCTCAAAATCCTAACATTCCTTTATGAGATTCAGGCATTTCAAGGTTATGGGTGCTGTCTTCAATTATTTGAAGAGAAGAAAGAAAATTCCTTTTATGGAGAAGAGGGATAGGGTTATTGTGTTTTTTTTTTTTTTCTTAAGTAGACTCCACGCCTATTGTGGAGCCCAAAGGTGGGCTTGAACTCATGACTGTGAGATTAAGATTGGAGACAAGACCAAGAATCAGATACTTAACTGACTGAGACATCCAGGCACCCCTATTGTGTATTCCTTCCAAGGGCCAACTAGACAAGTGGGTAGAAATTAGAAGGGGCAGAATTGGGTTTAGTAGGTTTTATCTTCTATTCATAAGAGTTGCCCTAACATGAATAAGCTGTTTGATGTTATAGAGTACTCCCAATCACTGGGAATATTTAGGTAAGGGCTGGATTGCCCTCTGAGAGAGAGAGTTCAATGGATTCATGGATTCCTATTTTGATGGAAGATCGAACTATATCTCCCAGAGAGAGCCTTGTTGGTAAGTTAGATAGAACTACATTAACGTGTGTGTGTGTGTATTACATTATGTGTGCTTGCATTGAGGTAGTTTATAAATCTTTTGACCTTTTCTATCCTGACACCTGCTGGCCAATGCATGACTGACCATAGGTCATGATGATACACCTACAACTTCTAACTGGAAAGGTCCTGAGTGGTAACTAAAGAGACAAGGAGATGGAAAAATATAGGTATAGCTTTATAAGTGAATATGATATAGCTGCATTAGAATATATAAATGTATACATATATAATCTAAAATTACTATAATTATAAGTGAATGCAGTCAATTGTAAAATAATTTTTTAAAAAAGATTTTAAAGTAATCTCCACACCCAATATGGGGCTGGAACTCATGCTCTTCTGACTGAGCCAGCCAGGTGCCCCAATTTTTAAAGAATTTTAAACAGAATTGTGACCTTATAAGATGGAATATTATGTAGCCAACATATGTAGCCAATATTTCTACTATAGAAAGTATATAATGTTTCCCCAAATTTCCAAGTTCCTCATACACACATTACATTAGTGATGTATTAATTTTATATTGCCGTCATAACAAATCATGACAAATTTAATGGCTTAAAAGACATTATTTATTATTTTATGGTTCTGTGGGGTAGGAGTCTAACATGAGTTTCACTGGGCTAAAATCAAGGTGTCGATAGAGCTGCTTTCCTTCCTGGACGCTCTGGGGAAGCCAATTTCCTCAACTTTTGCAGCTTGCAGAGCCCCCCTTCCTTCATCTTCAAAGGCAGCAATGTTCTATCTCTCTGACCATTCTTCTACAGTCCTATCTCCCACTGATTAGCTCTAACTGGAAAAGGTTCTCTGCTTTTAAGGATTCTCATGATTAAATTGGGTTTGACTAATCCAGGGTTATCTCTCCATCTCAAGATCCTTAACTTTAATCCCATCTGCAAAGTCCCTTTTGCCAGGTAAGGTATTCACAGATTCCAGGGATAGGGCATGGAGATCTTTTTTTTGGAGGGAGGGGCTCATTATTCTGACTACCACATGTGGTCAGGGTAACAATGCATTGAATTACTATTGAATTCATACTGTACTTTCCAATAGAAACAATGCCACATATGAGGTCATGTTCCCAGGCTAGCCATCAGCACTTCTGTGACCCATAACAGAAGGGGCTTTGCTCTTCCAGATACCACCATTTAAAAGCACCAATGGGACCACTTGATGCAAAGCCCATGAATGACAATATCTTGTTAGGAAAATGTTCTGAGTTCCTAATAGGATATTAGGGACAAATCCCTTCCCCTGTCTTCTCAACCTCTTCTTTTCCCCTTATCCTCATTCTCACCTCTCCCTTCTCCTCATATGTTTGGGAATTGTGAGTGAGGACTGTTTCTAAGCCATAGATGGTGACTCCCATGGTCTGTGATGAGGGTTCCAGCAGGGTGGGGACATGGAGGTGAGTGACAGTGGAGGAGGTAAAGGAGTATGAGAGAAGGTAGTTGTGGGACCTTCACCTTCTGGTGAAAATCTCTGGGGGATATGCTGGGAAGATTCTGGATCTCTCTCTTAGTTTTTCCAGAGGCCCAAATGAGTGGCTCAGCAACTTCTTTCTGGCTGCCTTCACTAGTCTCAACAAAGGCTTCTACCTTACTTGCTCACTGTGTAACAAAATATAGCTATTCACACAAGCCAAAGCCTTTCTGGAGTTTTCTGAGGGCTTTTGTTTCCAACAATTAGGGGACGAAAAAAAAATCCAAAAACCTTGCTCTCTTGCTCTCTTCTATTTATTTTTACCGTTATGTAGGGATCACACACAGGTGCTAACAGAAAGGATTGTGCAGAAAGGACTGCCCTCGAAGGCAGGGAACAGAGAGAGGCTCTGCTGTGGGGGCTGGCAGTGGTGGGTCTGGGGAAACAGGAGGTGTGCTTTTTCCTCCTCCAGCCCAGGCCTCCACAGTCCCAGCTGAGTGGGTCCCCATCAACAGAGCAAGTCTGTCTCCTCACAACATTCAAAAGATGGTGTGTGTATTGCTTTTTTTTTTTTTTTTTTTCTGAGGCTGCTCTGTGGTTAG